AACCCGGCCAAATTTTTTATATATCTTTTTGATTCTCTGCAAAAAAGTAGGATTCGCAGCTGGATCGATCGCCGGCAGAATTATGATTTCATTGATTTTAAACTATTATAAAAGCATTCTCGGACAAAAATTGATACTTCAGCAATTAAAAAGTCTAGTATCAAGACTAGTTTCATAGCACTGACCTTTCAACCGATAGCCAGTTTACAAACAAAGTTGATCACATTAACTTCATTTATGAAAAATTTCATGGATACCTGGAAAGTTTTTTTCTGAAGGTCTACAACTTGGCATGGGTTCGTTATTTCTACCTAATATCAGCTTGATTTTATCTTTTGCCAGAAACTCAAGATTTATCTTAATGCACATATTTGCGTTTACACCTGTAAATGTTGTACTTTCAATTTTTTGTGAAAAACTAAACGGCAACTCGAGATGGTTTTTTATGATTAATTCCAGGAATTGAAGTTGAGTTTTTAAATCACAAATAGGCAAGTGGTAGACTGTTTTGATAACTAGAGCTCCAAAAACTCTCAGATTTGAAAGGAACTAGGTGGGATTATAATGCGAGTTTCGCAAAAACAAATGCAGAGCATCGAATATCAAATCTAGAATGTTAATTCTGGAACGGTCTAAATGCTCAAACAGGCTAGATAGCCTTTCATAGATCATATGCGAATCCCAGCAGCCACATTAAATATTATTAAACCATAAGGAAGAGATTTTACTGGTGACTCGAACTACTAAAAAAATTCCAAGACAGGAAAAAAATTGTCGAAAAAAAAGCTTGCAATTTCTGGGTCTCAGAATTATATACACCTGCTTTCAAAAACTGTTATTTCGATTGGCGAAAATTGACCGAAAAAAGAACCACATCTTTTTTACTTATTCCGTTTTTTCGAAAGTCGGAACAAAAATGAAGTTTTTGACTATTAAACAAGTAAATCAAGTTCCTAAACAAAACTTTCTGATTTATTTAAATGACAGTTTTTAGTTTTTTTGAATTCCTAAATTAAAATTTTGCAAGCTGTTTGAAAACCCATGTGCTGCAGAGGCCAATTAATTCACAGGGGCTTCAAACTACTCGCGAAGTTTGTCTTGTTCCAACAGCGTCATGCAAAAAGCATGGATTGAATTTAGCTGCCAGTAGCCTATTTAGGAGGGTTATTTCGCAGGTGCCATTGCTGAAGGTTCCCTTTTCCGCTATTTTACAACACCGTTTTCGATCGGCACCAATTTGGAGGGTAAACGGTTGCGCGCCGAAAACCAGTAATTTTCTGTTGAAAAATTTTCGAAGAAAATTTTCATCAAAAACCTGTTATTTCATCAAGTTTTGCCTGCGTCACCAAACGTTTTGACAAAATGAAGTCTTTCTAGTGTTTTGCAAGGCTTCAAAAAATCAATTTGATCAAGATCAACAAAGTTTGTCAAAAAAATTCTTGGATCCGCCTCTGCTTTTTTGCTTTTAGATTTTTCCTCCTGTTCTTTCCTTTTCCTCTAATTTCGCTGTCGTCTCATTTAGGATGTTACCTTGGTTTAATTTCAAGGGAAAGGACCAACATACGAGCTGTTTAATTTTTCACGGAGAACCGCTAATTAACAAAAAATTACTTCTCAGTATGACTAATTTTCAGGTAAAGGTTTTATCAGTCGTCATAGGAAATTGAAAGAATTTAATCGACATTTCATTCGATCATAAAAAAAACACTGCTCATATGAAATGGCGATACTTTTAATGTTCCGACTGCACTTTAAGGCCAATTTAAAAAAATGTTGGTTCAACAATTGATGGAAAGAAAGCAAAAAACCGAACCAAGACTGCTCGTATCAGGGCGAAGCCCTGAATGTTCCGAAGGCCTTTTAAGGTTTATGGAGCAGTAATAACATAAAAAAATTAAATGAAATAAAATAAAATGAAAATTTTATTTCTAAAATTTGAAAATTGTTCTATGAAAATCATCCCCCACGCGCCATATAAAGTACAAAACAATAGATTTCGCTCCTTGTAACAAATCAATTATGGCAAATAAGCTTCTTTCAACCAATTCGGAACGATTTCTAAGACCGATTAAATCTCCGCTTACGCGTTAATAGCGCGAAATATATCGCGCGTTAATTGTCCCAAATTGGTCAAAATGGCAACCTTTAAACCCTCATAACTTTACGAAGAATGATCACAGGTGAAATATCTTTTCAAATTTAAGCTCAGGACAACAATAGCTTTCGAATGATAAAAAAAATTTCCGTCAAAAATGGCTAGTTAAAAAGTCGAAATTTGTCTGAAGAAAAAAAACCCACCCCGAGCACAAATATTCCGTTACTTTCGTATCGAAAGTCGGAACAAATACATTTCATCCTTCCACATGCTCGGTAAGATACAAAAGTTCGCGTCTCTTATTGTTTTTAGAAGACTAAACTGCCGGCATCAATTCAACTTGGAATGCTTATAATTGCCGCTCACGCGTATTATAAGAACGCATTTTATCGCGCGTTATTTATCACATGTCGATCAAGTTAGTTATTTTCAAACCCCACGCGTTAATATTCCGAAGTCGACCAAATAGCAATTTTTGAACCCCGGAAAAAAAATCTCTCAGATGGAAAAAAGTTGTCAATAATAGTTTGCTAAGAAATTGAAAACCGACTTATTAAAGAAGGACCCCAACATAAATATTCGGATCAATTGAACATTTGCCCACCAAATTGATTTAGAGGAATAAAAAAACCTTTTTTTTCTGAAATTGAATTTGAAGTCAAAATTTTTTGATATAATTAGCCAATAAAAAATCAATCGATACAAAAATATGATTAACATTTTACGCTATTAACAGGATAAAACAGCTATTTGCTATAAAAATTTTCTCCAGTAGTATATTCAGAGTATTTTATTGAAATGAACATTTTATGCATAATTAATTTCAAAATTAATATATACTTCAACGGTAGGTCACTTGAGAGGGGGGAGAGATTACTGGACTGATGTGCTCGACTGATGATTCGGCCAAAACGGTCTAACGAGATCCGTTTTCATTTTTTGAGTCAAACGATGACCGCATTTTGCATCTTTTTACAGTTTTACGAGCAACAAAAAATCGATAAAAAGTTCAAATCATGTTCGACCCGTGTTTCAAAATCGGACATCGCTTGACTGTTTTGGTTGAATCATGAGTCGAACACCTCAACCCGGGTTCTACAGCTGATCAAATATTCCGCACTTTCATCGAAATTCGGAACAATTTCTCTGATTGTTATCGTTTATCGAAACGGATTTATTAATTGATTTTCCCCGGTAGTTTAATCTCAACTAAAAATAGCAGAATATGGCGTATTCGCAGCGCAGATAATTGAACCAGAGTAATGGAATTTTAAGTCAGGTCGTAGCCAAATGAAAGACAATAGGAACTCGTTGGAAGAATAATTTCCCCTGGAAAGGGACGCCTAAATGAAAGGATTTAGCTCAACGACAGTTGTATTTGAATTTCAGGGAAAAAATGGAGAGCAATTGTAGAGAGAAACACCAAGCTACATGTTTATCCAAAAGTTCAGCATATTAACATTTCAACAAATGCGGTAGCAATTGGCCGTGTTTCGTTTAAAATTAAGAAAACATCTTTGAAAATTGCTAAAATTTCTTGGATTTTTTTCACTTTTTTTTCTCCGACTATTTTCGTAAAAAAATGACGGAATGTTTGCGCTCGAGGTGGCTATTTTCTCCAGACGAGTTTCGACTTTTAACTATCAATTTTTGACGGATTTTTTAAACATCACTCGAAACTTTTTGTCCTGGGCTGAATTTTAAAAGGATATTTTACTAGTGATCATTTTTTGAAGTTATTGGGCTTAAAGTTTGCCAATTTGGACAATTTACGACAGTTAACGCACGAGGCGAAAACTTAATCCCCCTTAGATTCGTTCCAAAATGAATTCAAGTGAGCTATTCGGTCTACTTAATACTTCGCAATAAGCGAAACAAATCACTTTGTACTTGAAGTAGCGTGTAAGGATAGGTGGTTTTCAAAAAATTCGTTTAAAAAAGTTTTGAGTTTTATACGTTTTTTTTTTCAGATGCCATCGATTTTTTAAAACCGAACACTATTCGATAGACCTAAAAATGCAGAGTGAATATTCAGGGCTTTGACCTGATACAAGCAGTTTTGTTATGAGTTAGTTGAGAAGTTGGTACCATTTTCAACCCATTCGGGAAAAAAGCGATTTTCAAATGATCGAGAGGCAGATCGTCCTAACTATATAAACAATCATTATATTTTTTTTTCCAATTCAATCATTTATTGCTGCTGTTATCCTAATTAATTGGTTTCGATTTCTTCTAGAACCCACTTGCTCAGTGAGTTGCAAATAGTAGCTTGCGTTTATTAAAAGTGTGCAAATACCACTGGTAACTAAACTAACTATCTAAGTTAAAAAAGACTAGAACAAGGTGTAAATTAAAACTGACCGATGTCTTAAAAGAGAATTAGTGACGCGAAGTCCACTGGACTTCGTAGAGTAGACATTAACTGGTACTTGATTAATCTATAGAGGTCAAGGTTAAGAGATACTAAAATACTAAATCACAACATTCCCCACTGCACAAAAATTTATATCTGCCCACTCCCCAATGTAGCCAATACCACACATATACTCCATTATCCCCTCACTCCATCAGGGCCAAAGTTGAAACAAAAAGTAACAGCGTTTAGCACCAATGTAAATTCACAGAGATAATACAATTTACAATGGAGATGTCTATGTGGTAATATTTACAGGCTACCTACAAGATGAAACAGATATCTACAGCTACTGTACAGCTGACAAAATGTTATGTACAATTGGGGTTATGTGACATATAAACAAATTGAACAAGCTAAACTACATAACAAACTAGTTAAAATGTACAAAATTGCTCAACTTGAGAATTAGTAAAGTTACCTAAAATGAATAACCAATGGAAAAATCAGCACTGAAAGGTTATGCTAAAAGAGTTTTTATTTTTCACAGTTTTAATAATTGGCGTTAAGTATATCATGGAAACTTTCGGCCTCCTTCCTTACTTCTGTGTCTATGACTGAAGATATATCACTCCCGTCATCGTCCTGAATGTCGGGTCTGACTTCTTCCAATGGAGAGGATAGTACCGCGATCTTTGGCGTCATGGAAGAAGGAGTTGAAGAGGAGCCTTGTGTAGTTTCCGCCACCAGTGTTGGATGGAAAGGTATATCCTCGAGTGGCGTCAAGTAATCCGATGGAGAGTCTGAGGGAAAGGTCGTCTGTAGGCTTTTCGAAAAGTTATCAGGGGTTCGTCATCGGAATCCGCAATTTCGATGGTTTCTGCTCCTAGGGTCACCTGGTCTATGAAGCGCCTGTCTCCCTAAAAATTAAGGGGGCCTGGATTCCTTCTGAGTCGTGGTTTGTTGCTTTTTGGGGTTGTGGGCGTCTCTATTGTCTTTTCCAGAGAGCTCTCTATCCTAATTGGGTTGTCGCATGTGCCCGGTGGGAGTGTAATTGTCGTCTGATTGTTGGTTTCAATCGCTAAGGTAAGTCCTGACTGATCTAAATCACTAACAATATTATAAGTCGGAGTATTATATACAATTTCCGAGTCCATACCCAAATAATAATCGATAACTTAGTCCCAATGGTCTAACTCTAGCGAGGAATCTAATTCAGAATACGCGAATTTTAAACCTTTGAAACTCGGGGTTTTCATTCTCCTCCTTTTCATCGCCTTTTCTCCTATTAGTTTGTAGCTCGTCGATGGGCCTCCTCCGTTCGAGTCCGGCCTCTTCAATGGAGAATTTCTCTTTCGTTTCCCTGCTAAATCATGAGTATTATTTATCGAGTTCGGAACTGCTGAAAATTTACTGGGAGCCGACTGTTGATTTTTATTAAAAGCTAAATTGGATTTTCTGAGCACATGTCCATTGTCTAATGTAACCGTATGTTTTGTATCCGACAATGGTTTTCCCACAAGTGGTTTAAAATAAGGTTCGCCCCTTCGGTTAACTGTCTTCCTAAACCAGTTACCTCTTTGGCTGAATGGGTTTGACAGTGGGGCTTGCTGAAGGTTTCTATCAAGTTTGTCCGATGGGTCGCTCTCATACCCCCTTTTGTCTGCCACTGTGTTCTCCAAATAGCCGTCTTCGAATGCGTCATTTGCTCCCCAGTCTTGAGCTCTATTCCTTGACAATATTGACTTCCCTTTATCTAAATTAATCGCGTGTGAGACCAGGGATTTCCAAAAAGTGTTAGGCGATCTAATAAAGTGTTTTGAAAAAAGAGAGCTTCCAATGGATGATTGTTTCGTTGAACGAATATTCCAAATGATTTTATCAATTGCCGTATTTAAAGATGGTTTTGGTTCGTTAAACGACATTGCCAAGAGTTTTGCTTTAACCGTGTAAATGAGTCGTTCTACGACCCCATTGGATCTGTGATCCCCGACAGTACATAGAATTAAGTTAATGTTGTTCTTCTCGCAGAAGTTTCTAAAATCGTTTGAAATAAAACATGACCCATGGTCGACTCTAATAGACTTCGGAAATCCATGAAGGTGACAACAATCTGACATGAACGATAAAATCGAAGAAGCCGAGGTGTTATTCACTACCTTTGCAGACGAGAACTTTGTGAAGTGGTCGATGCATAGTAAAAGGTATTTTGAGTTGCCCCAATTTTTGTCCAAAGGACCCGCAAAGTCTAAGTCTACTTCTTCGTTTGGTTCAGAAAGGATTGGTAATTTCTCCGTATTGTTCGTACCCAAAATCACTTTTAAATTCTTACCAGCCTTGATGCACTGGATACAGTTTTTTCCATGGTCATAAATAACTCTGTATAAATGTGGCCACCAAATGTTTTCTGCCAGAGATTTCATTCCAAACTGTCCGGGGTGATTTTCATGGAGTAGCGACAAAAACGCGACCTCAGAGCTGCTGGCGTTATCATTTTGTTATCGTTCAATAACAATCCTTTTTTCACATGAATGTCTCTTTGAAAATTCTTGAGGTTAGCTCCGAATCTATCCAGTGGTCTGCCTTCTTCTAATGCCTTCTTCACATCCTTGAGAATTTTGTCCTCGTCTGTCATGAGTCTAATTAATTTGTTCGAACAATCTTCGGTGAGAGATAAAGGAGTGTCTGGTAACTTAAGGTCTCCTTTATATTTAGCGAGTAGTTTTTTATGGATGTCCGACATTATGTCGTTATTGAAGTTCAGTAAAACTCCTTTATTTTCCGCACTGAAAATAAGTAGGTTTTGTCTGACAGGTAAAAGTATTTAAAATCGAATTTTGAGAGATTTGATGGGATGCAACCGCTTGTACAGGACTCTTAACGCGAGTGATTGTAATTACAAATTCTAATTATGTCGTTGACGTAATTCAGAATATTCGAGAAGAACGACCGTTGGATGAATAGCGTTAGTTCTTTCTTTCCGCCCATTGGATTATTGCAATCCAAGTTACTAATAGTATATACATCCACTGGATTGTACAATTCGTGCTGACTATTGTTAGTTTGAGGACCGTAAAAACTGGATAAAAAAAGCAAAAAATATATTGCAATCATTCGATTTTTATTGGTTTGGTTTTGAATTGTTTTTCGGTTTTTTCTACGTATGTAAAGTTTTTATTACATTCCAATCAGATTCCATGACTAGCCCGTTCGTTTTGTGGACAGATGAGTTTTTGTTAGTTACAACAGTTTAAATTGAGAAAAACAGTTCATCTCGTAAATCTCTCGCTATATCAGTATTCCCATTGATCTATTGAGACAAGGAAATCAAGCTGGGATTCAGAGCAGTTCTATCTAATCAGTTAATCTGGCTGAAAACAGAAAGCGTGTCAAAGAGACGATGAACTCAGACTGGAACTACTTTTTGAGATAAAACTTCAGCCCATCTCATCTAGTGCATCCAAAGAGTCACGAACAAAATTTTAAAAAACTAATCACTAAATTAGTTTAGAAATCTAGACAGGACTGCTCGTATCAGGGCGAAGCCCTGAATGTTCCGACTGCCTTTTAAGGTCTATGAAGCAATAATAACATGAAAAAATTAAATGTATAAAAAAAAGAACAAAAATTTTTTAAAAAAATTGTTAAAAAATTTGAGATTTTTTGTGAAAATCATCCCCCCACTCGCCATATAAAGTACAAAGTGATAAATTTTGCTTCTGGTAACAAATCAATTATGGCAACTAAGCTTCTTTCAACCAATTTGGATCGATTTCTAAGACAGATTAAATCTCCGCTTACGCGTTAATAGCGCGAAATATATCGCGCGTTAATTGTCCCAAATTGGCCAAAATGGCAATCTTAAAACCCCCCATAACTTTACAAAAAATGATCACAAGTAACATATCTTTTCAAATTTAAGCTCAGGACAATAATAATTTTTGAATGATATAAAAAAATCCGTCACAAAACAGCTAGTTAAAAAGTCGAAATTTGTCTGAAGAAAAAAAACCCACCCGAGCACAAATATTCGGTTACTTTCGTATCGAAAGTCGGAACAATAATGTAGACTGAAAATTCCATTTATCGGTATATCTAACCAAACAAAATGTCAGCAAAATAGTTCACAAAACTCACGCCAAAAAATGTGTCCCTTTTTTGATTATGATTACTTTAAAGACTTGTCAAATACAACCAAACCATAGAATTGCCCATACAACCATTTGTAGTAAATCTCACAAAAACATACAGAAGTTATTACACTACCGCACACATGAACAAATCATACATTCAAATGCCATAAGCGAACTATCTCAACAATTAACAAAATCGTAGTTTCATCAGCTATCTGAACTCATATGACTAGTTATAGCAGAATTTTCACGTAAAAGGCGTTCTGTGACAAATAAATTTCAAGGTTTAGAAATTTAAAAAAAATCTCCGTTGAAAGTTTACTGTCCATACTGGCGGAGTCAAGGAAAGCATAGCTAAAAATAGAGAACCAAACAAAAACAAAATAAAGCAACTCTTCAAAATTGAAAGCAACCAATGGTTTTTTTTCGTGAATATATTACCGAGCCATTTATTTTAATCTAACCAATCTAATAGTGGCAATAACAGCTCAGTAAAACCATTTAAAAACAAATTTTGAAAAAACTGCTCGTATCAGGGCGAAGCCCTGAATGTTCCGACTGCCTTTTAAGGTTTATAGAGCAGTAATTTGAAATTTTTTGTGAAAATCTTCCCCCCACACGCCACATAAAGTACAAAAAGATAGATTTCGCTCCCTGTAACAAATCAGTTATGGCAAATAAGCTTCTTTGAACCAATTTCGAATGATTTCTAAGACGGATTAAATCTACGCTTACGCGTTAATAGCGCGAAATATATCGCGTGTTAATTGTCCCAAATTGGTCAAATTGATTCAAGGAAGCTTATATGTCAAATTGATTTGTTAATGGGAGCAAAATCTATCAGTTTGTACTTAATATGGCGTGTGGGGGATGTTTTCACAAAAAAATCTCAAATTTAAAAAAATAATAATTTCACTTTATTACATTTAAATTTTTCATGTATGCTGTTCCCTAGACCTTAAAAACCATCGAAACATTCAGGGCTTCGCCCTGATACGAGCAGTCTTGTTATAAAAGATCATTAAAACCAAAGTGAAAACCCAACTATAGCGCAGATCCAATTCAGGAGAATACTAAAGCAGCCGTTCAGAAATTTACTAGAATGGGTAAAGATATCAATACAATCAATGTAGATCTCATCAAACTAACAACAGACAACCTTAAAGTAATAGAAACGTTTTATAGGCAAAAAAAGCTAAAGTTAGAACACCTAAAAACAACTATTTTGCGAAGAGAAACAACAGCAGAAAAGTTTTTTCAAAAAAGTCAAAGGAGAAAAAATAACTATGCCAATCAAAGAGCTGGAAAAAATTAACAGTAACACGCAGGTAAAAACAAAAACCAGTTAACCAGTTGTATAGAAGGAAACAATATCGAGATATTCATTAGCACCAAAGGCTTCTTTAGAAAAAAGTTACGATTGGTTAGCCAAAACTGGATGTCATAAAATAGTACCAAAAAGCATTCATGTGAGTGGCATGGGCTCAAGTCCCTTCACTGAAATCAATACTAATTTTGTTTTCCTGAGGGCAGACCGCCAAAAGTTTCATTAGAGAACATACTTTCATCAACTCTCTCCTAATTGTTATTCAACTAATGCTGCGTTGATGTTAATGATCTACGTTGATGTTAATGTTAATAACTTTTAATGATCAATTTATGCTGCGCTAACTAAGTAAATAAATTGCGTTACAATTTCTTTTTCAATAAATTTCTAGCCTCACCAGAATATTTGGGCAGCACATTATTGCAATTTGTGACCAGGCTGCATGTGCAGGGATCCGAACTCCTCCGACCGAAAATCCCACTAATCATATTGGTCCAGCTATTCCTCCGTGTCGTCGAGCTCGGCTTCGAGGCTTCACTGACTGACCCCTGGCGATTTACTTTCTTGGTTATGTCTGCCGTTGGAATTGCAGCCGAGAAGTGCGAAAACGCAGGCGGAGGACGAGGTTTGTTTGCCCAACCGAGTGAACTTCGACGACCTTTTGAAGGGTAAAATCCAGTCTACAAAAAAGTAGTTATAACAGTAACGGTATCTAAAACTTGAAAATAAGGCGTAAAGCGCGGTTGGGTTTAAAATAACGATGTTTTTTAACATTATTATGATAAATTATTTCGAAGAAAAAAATAATTACCAGATAAATTCGACTCAACTTCGTAGTTAGTTGGTTCGAGATATAAAATTGCTCAAAAATGCTGTTTGTAATCAGTTAGACTAACCTTAAATCAGTAAGGAACTCAGTTGAACGTTCGACGTGCAAAAAGAACAGAGGTATGTTGATCAGCATGCAAGGCCTTATGGGGAAGGATTGGATTTGTCAGCTACCATATCACTCTTGCTTAAAGGCATTTCAAAGTAGTTACCCAACTAAATCCTAACAAGGCATCATTCTAGCGCGATATGAAAACCCAGTCTAACAAAGCAGCCTCATACTAAGGAGCTAGATACTTAGTAGCTATAGAAATTGATGGTTAAGTAATTCCTAAACTGATTGCACTAAGCCTTAAAGACAAAAAGGTACATCTTATCAATCTTAGCGCCTTCTTTCTTAGTTTTTAAGATTGCATAAAGGGCTGAACACCGCAATGAAAACAACATGCTATAATTTTAAACTCAAATATCAGTTTGTTTTTTTGACGTACTGAGGAAACTTTTGACGATGTAGTTTTTGAAACACTTTTGTCGGTGTTTTCGAGTGTGATGTAAAGTGAACACAAGCGCCAAAATACTTTTCAAACTAAATATGTTTTCCTTTATGTTAAGCTGAAACGCAAGCATTTCATTACATACTAACTTTTCAGTAGTATCCGTTGGGTATCTGGTGAAATTTAGAAAGCAAACAGCAAATTTTGTGCTCCAATTTTGGGAAAAACTAATGGGGTAGATGGCTTTGGGATGTCTTTCAATAGACCAGTTTAGCTGATTGAATTGAATGTTTTGATCCAAAATAATTTTTTTTCTTTTTTTTTGTCCTTCTTGGTGCCTAGTAACGATCATTCACTGATGTAAATTGCGTTTTATCACTCTTCATTAGACCTCCAACTCATGATTAGATACCTGTTATTTCATGTCTATTGGAAGTCCAATGAATTTCGCGGAAGTTCTCCAGTTTAAAAAGAAAAAAAAAACAGTTTTAATTCAATCTCTTCTCGTTAATTTATTTAAATTTAGTTTAGTTAATCTTGGGAGTGCCAGTGATTTTTGATCATTATTTCAAATCGCGAAGTCATTTGATTCAAATCTAAGGGGGGATTTCTGCGTTTTAGCCAAATCATACGGTAGTATGGACAAATTGGATCGACCAATTTCATCTGGCAAAAAAATTAGACAACTGAGGATAAAAAAGTCGCGGAGGAAAAACAACAATTCGGTGGCAAGAAAAAAACGTGAGGAAGGTAAAAACATAAGATCAACATTTTACTCGGCCCTAAGATCTGAAATAAAAAAGTCTTCTCGCGAAAACACCCAAAGTTGAAAATTTTATCGGTTTTAAAATAATTCTTCGAACCGCTTTCGTAAAATCAGCTATTATCACCTTCGAACAGTAAAAATTGCTGAGCAGGAAGCTAAAGTAGAGAGTCTTATTAACAATTTTGGCCAGCACAATCCGACTTAGCGAAAACATGTGAACTTGAAGTTCATGAAGAGCAAGATTGGTTACGAGACGTGTTCGTTTTTAACATGAAAAGTTGCGACCTCCAACGGAGACTACTTTCGGAAATATTAAACCCAATGTCTGCCTTGAATCATGCAATTCGCTACAAAAAAGGTAGCTTAATCACCTTGAGCTGACAAAGATGACATGAGTCAAAATTAATGGCAAATTATATGAAAGTTTTAATCCTCTAGAAGAAAACTAAGCCTAAATACAGAAAAAGCGGACTCCTGTGCGAATGTGGAAATACGTTAACCAAGGGATGTTTTAATGTTTGTCCCAATTAAAAAATAAAGACGGTGCGACAAAATTAGCCCAGGATTCTTAGGTGCTAAGCGATCAGATACTTAAAAATATTTATCAAATGCCTAACATACATGAACTAATTGACAATATTGCATAAAAACTTTCCAACCAAATGTCAAGCGAGGGGTGGTTTACCAGTCTTGACCTAAGAAACGAGTACTGTCAGTTCAAATTATGCAAAAACATGAGCGAACGACGTAACTTTAGTATAGTGGGCGGCGAATCTAGGTGCAACTATTGCTTTACAAACGGTTTCTATAGTCTTGGAGATATGGCTAACAAATTTCAATGCTAGTGGGAGATATTCGGAGATATCGCTACTCAAAACTTCCTTCGGAAAAAAACACTTCATTGTTTTCCGTTCTATCATTTGTGACCGACTATTGCAATATCGACGGATTTCCTAAACCTATTAGAGCAGACCACGGCTCTTGTTACATCTCAAATGATTTTACACGTTTCAGCTGAAAGAACTAACTATTTAAATCAATTTTCATACACAGAGAAGGATAATAGATCCAATGGAGTTGTAGAACGCTTCATCTACACAGTAAAAGCAAAACATTTAACAAAGTCGTGAAACGAACCTAACCATTTCTACACTCTGCAAACTATAATGCCATTTAAAACTTTCATTTAACCAAACAACCATCAACTGGATGCACTTTTTCTCAAAATTTTTCTCATTTTCTAGATCCCTTAATACCTTTAGGAAAACTTCGTTTCATACCCAATTCTTTTACATAAAAAGAAATCAGTTCCCTCAGTCACAAGCCCAGCCCAAGATTATAAGAAAAGAGGGCAAATTTATTTTAAACCACTTAAAGGGAAGGTTTTAGCAAACTCCAGAAACACGATAACCTTCGAAAAAGGACACGTCCTCAAAAAAATCCGATCCCGCTTTCATGAAAAACAATCCTGTGGCTCCGAAAGAAAGTTCATCGGAAAAATGATTTTTTGATAATTTCGCAAAGAAGATGAAGATAAACTCCCGATCGAAAAGATTGGACTCCAGTATATCAAGTTTTTTATTCAAGAAGATATACAGACACTTCATTGTCAAAAAAAACGGAAGACAAAGAGCCCTATGTCCAAGGGATTCCTCTCATTTAATCTCTAATTTGTCGCATCGTAAAATTTAAGACCTTGGCATGAGAATTTTGACGACTATTTGAAGCTGATTCGGGCGCAAAAACAGATTCTCAGTCTTGAATTCTTGAAAGGTCTTTAGATCCCTCGTGACAAAAAAACCATCGGTGACTTCACAGCCAGTGATGAAACGTCTCTAGAACCAACTTCAGCCATCCAATCGGGCAGTTTTTCCCGACTCAGATGGAACCCTGGTCCCCCTGAAATTAACGGAGAGACCAGATTTGTCGAAGGAGCAGCACCACGGTGAGGTGATAATTATCTTGACTGAAGAAACAGAAGAAACACTATTAGTCGTGTCGACATCCAAGACCCTCGGGAACTCGGACAGGAAATGTTTCTAATAGACTACACTTCAGCATTTTTCACCCAACTGGAAGAAATTGGAGCTCACCCTACTTACTGGATAAGACTAAAGACCATAACCTCGATGTCAACGATGGACCCTCAATTAGTAGTGGCGGGGTCGTTTTAACCGGAAACACAGATAGAATAATAAGATCAAGATAGCGGCATATCATCTATTTTTGACTCAGAAACAAGAATCAAAGACGATTTATTCCACAAAAAGTTTACCATAGCTTGGTTACAACTCATTAAACTCAAAACTAATTAGCAACTCCGTTTTACTATTGGTGGATAATTCAATTTCTTTTTTTATATTTTACTAATTTTTACTATTGATAAATCAACCGTCGGAAAGCTTTCAGATCTTTTATCATGATCTGTAGATTAGTTACTTAATTATACATCACTGTTTACTTTTCATCATTTATACATAATCCCAACTGTACATTATCAACCTGTATTTATCTGTATTGATCTCTATGTAGCCTGTTCATTTTTGACGATATAATCTCCAAACACATGTGTATATCTTCTCTTGTAAATTCAATGGTACATATGTAAGTTTAATAGTTTTGTCTCAAACTTCTATTGCTCGTGAGGTGAAGTGAGAATGGAGTATGTATGTGGCTTGGCTACTATTCATATACATCAGATATATTTTTTTCCTGCATTGGGGAATGCTGTGAATTGTTTACTCTTTACTCTTAATTTGACCTCTAACTCTTAACTAGATACCCGTTAGTTCGTTTTTATTTGAAGCCCATTGGACTATGCAGCAATTTTCTTGTCTCAATAGAAAAACAGTTTCAATTCAAACTAATTTATCATTTTTAAGTATACCATTTTGGTATAGCAGGTTATTTTAACACTCTTTGTTATTCACCTCATAAGAGGGCTATTTCATTGTCTGCATTAATGCGAAAAGTGTCAAATTTTATCCCAAGGAAGTTATCAACCATCTTTTTGAAACCATTGGCCGGAAAGAAATTCGATCTCTCGACCGCCCAAAAAATCCTATTTGTTATTTTTTTACGACAAATCCTGTTAGATAATTGACCGGTACAAATTTTCCGCAGGCGTCAGTTCATAGTTTTTTTGCAGGCGTCAGTTCAAAATCTCCTGGGGCGAGATTTTGCTGGAAAGATTTAACGCATTTCATGCATTTTTCGATCAAATTGAAATCAAGCTAATTATAGGGTGTTTTTAAGCATATTTTTAATAATTTTTTCTCATTTCACCTTAATTTAGGCTATTGAAGCCATTGTTTTTATTTAAAAAAAATTGCCGAGTTTAAGTGCTGATAGCCGAATAAATTGAACTAGAAAAAAAGTTCGCTTTTCTGGCCAAAAATCATAAAGATAAAAATGTTTCGAATTTCACCGTCAATTTATAGTGCAACTTGTTTGAACCAAAACTACACCACTAAAACCAGTCAGTTAAAATGGTTCAATTAATTTCATTTAGGAGGGAAAAAAGTTGAATTGGTTATAATATAGTTACGATTAGACATGATTTAATTTCATCATTTTTTGGCTAGATTTAACCGAAATTGAAGGAAACGAAAGCGAAAAAATTGTTTTAGCTCACTTTAACCGCTTATTTTAAGCCAGCACTGTAGAAAACTGCTCAGCACAAAGAAGAATGGTTTCATTAGGCTAAATTTTAATGAAATGATTGAAGATTCGTAAATCAGAAAACGCCCTCAACTTGAACCAATCATTTTATTACAGGACGCAATTTATATCGGTATAATATAATTTAATAATTGTTCCGACCGTATTAAAAATGGTGACGAACTTTATATTCAGGCGTGTTTGAATTGAATGATATATCATATCGAAGATTTTACAGTCGAGATACGAGCAACAAAAAAAATTTATAAAAAATTCCCAGTGTTGAGAAAAACCGGTTTTTTGTCTTACTTCGAGCAAATAAAGCGAGCGGCAGGCTTTCAATCGCTTATTTTATTGGTTTAAAATCTTACAATAGCCTAATTTAAAATATAAAAACTTATTATTACTCGAGAAGCCTTAGTTTTTTTTCAGTATCTTGGGAATTTTAGTTGTATTAGAGTATTTTAATATATTAATTAATTTTTATTTATTTTTTAGGTATTCCTTCAAATATGAGTAAACTCTAGTTTTTTGTAGAGCTCATCTTATCACACCACGCTAAAAATAACGAATTTGATAAAACTTCTGTTGTTCTTTCTAAGACTATGGTTCGGATCATTCTGAGCTACTTAACAGAACTGGCCATCTTTTTACTCGTGTAGCTAGGAATTGATTTGGAAGTAAAATGCCGTATACCTTTTTCGTCTTTTTTGTTAATTATGATTTTTTCTCTTATAACTTTATTCTTTTTGCCTAACTTTATTAATTTTATCTATTAGGATCAGCCAGAAAATGCTGATATTTGCTAAGTCATTTAAATTTGAGTAAAACCCGCGAAATGTTTATGGCAGAATGGTCTAAAATTTGAGACAACGTTTTAACTTCAGAACGCATAAGATAAACTTTTTTCAACTTCAAGCGCAAAAAATATGGATCAAAAAAGCAAAAAAAAATCAATCCCTGCTTGATGAGTTTGGAGGGAGGAATGAACAACCGAAGGTCAGAGACTTTCTGATTCAGGCCAACCGGACAATCATAATTTACTTTCTATTCTTCGCTCAGTTCATAATTTTTTTTATAACAGAAACAAGAAAAATAACGTTTTTGCGTTTTCAAAATTGTTGTGAGGTAGAAAAGATAGTATCAGTCAATGACGGATCTAAAAGTTTCTCGAGAGAGGGGGGACAGATTTCTAAAACAAAATCTACATTTTTGTATATCATACTTTATGTCGACCAAAATTGAGTTTCCGTGCATTGTAATAGACAAAAAATCATCCTGCTGTCTTAAAGTTAGTCAGCCAGAAGCCTAACTCGGAGGTTTCAAGCTATTACTCGAGCTTAACTGGTGAGGGTGGGAACAGAATCAAGATGTTTAGGCGAGGGGAAGTCAGAGTCGGCCGAGTTACTTTTTTGGGATATGACTATGTTTAAGTTGGAGAAATTGGTAATTTCGCGCAAGAACTGAACACTTTTCATATTACCCATAGATTGCAAGCAGCTATATCTTACCTCATACGACACTGATGGTTTTAAGGTGGCGAGAGATAGGTCAGAAGTGGCTTGACTGCTACTCGTTTCCTCATTGCCGTCGTCTATCGATGACAGAGGGGAGCTCCGATTGACAAGGGATTTGAGGTCGGAGTTGGACTGGAATGACATGGGTAATCTCTGCTCGCTCAAACTAGACCTGCAAAAGTTATAGGCTGACATCGCACTCAAGAGTTTTCATAGACTCTCGGGAGTCGTATGCAAATTATATGAGTCATGTTTATTACTACCCGCACTGATAAACGCATATGTATTAAGATCGAATCTAGTACGAAAAAAGTTTTCAGACGAAAACCTTCAAATTTAAATCATTAAATCGACTTCCAGTCGATAACCGACTTAAATGGATACTACATCGAAATAAATTCATTCTTTGTGTTTCGTTCAAACAAAATAAACTCTCCTTAAGAACAGTTCCTGATATTTTATCTCGCAAAGACCAGTATACAATAGATCTATTGAGACTAAGAGATATAAGAGTAAACTTAAAATCGGTACTAGACTAAGAAGTTGCACGAATCTCTCCGGCCGAAAATAAGATAGCGTGGCGAACAGACGGTGTACCTTATCTGAAATTACTCTGTGAGAGAGCCACCCCGGACATAAACTCAAATCGCACAAAAAAATTTTGGTCTAATTTTTTATTTGTAATTCTAAAAAAATTTCAATTTTGAATTCTGTTGAGGGGTAACAAAAACTTCAGACAACATTAGGGTACATTTTGATTGTTTGACCAATTGCAGAAACCCGTTTTGGATATGTTTAATTACGAGCATGCTAGATTTAAGACTGGGTAGAAGTTACCTGGAAGACACAGAGTTTAAAACCGGCGCTGAGCTGCAGTTTTCGGTCGATTTTGCCGGTGAAGTCCCACCACTAGTGACAGGAGAGTTATGCGTGCAGGCCTGATTTTTGAAACTGCGTCTTTTGAAGGTAAAAATAGTAGGGCTGAGAGAAACTCGACTAAAAGCTTCTATAGGTTTTCTTGATTTTGTGCTCAATTTTGAAGTCCTCGGAGAGGGATAAGGTGTATAAGGGTGTAGCGATGTGTCCAGGAACTTTGAGCCCTCGCAGTTGTGACCACACCTGAAAACAAAAATTGCCGATTGCTAGGCAAGTAGAACCAAATTTACTGAGAAATAGTCATCCATACAAAAAAAATGAAAATTAAAAAAAAAAGCTTTTTATTTGCGCTTAGGTAATTCTTTGGCTGCGTTGATTAGCGAGTACAAAACCTTGGAAATAAGCTTCCTAGCTCATTCCAGATAGCTTGCTTGAACTCGAACAACTTTATAGTTTTTAGACCAATGTATATATGCATGTATTTAAAATCGCTAAAACACGATATATAATTCAGAAACTTTATTGTGGTAATGATTTTTAAATGGTTTCTGCAACTGGTTTTTTTAATGGTGTCTTTTATAAAAAGTTCTTTTATAAAAAGTTCGTTCAAGAAGATAGATTTTTTTGAAGCTCGTCATTGAACAGGTTTTGATTTTATTTTATGTTACAAATTCTTTGATATAGAATAAAACTTGTCTATGCGACAACACCCTACACATACCGAGGGTTGATTTAAAAAGAAGAAGAATTTACTTAATATGCAAACCAATTTTAATTTGTTTTTAATGAAAACCTTCATTTAACAAGACTAGCGAATGAACAAGTTGCACAGAAAAATCCGGTCACGTTTTGTTTAGCAAAGATATATCTGAATCTATATAAAGACTGAATCTTGCAATATATCTGAATCTTGCAATACTTTTCAAACTGGTTTCTTTTTCAAAAACTGGAACTTTTTTGTTTGTAGATCAAAATGCGACTAAAACACTTTGGATTGAATACAATTCTTGACCTAATTTGGTTCTTTTTCTTTCATGAAAAAAAATCTTTGATTAGAAGTTAGAAACATGGGTGATATATTATAATAGGTGGTAATTTTGAACTATCTGAGTATAGTGCATGTATTACTTTTGAGACCTATAACGCATAATACTGTCATTTTATTTTCAATTAATTGTACATGCTGCTAAAATAGTTTTTGCATATATATTTCTCTGCCAGATGAAATGTGATTCAAAAAATCAAAGTTTACTTCACTTTTGCCCAAAAACTGGCTTTGAAACAAATTATAAATACTGTTCGAAGTTTAACAAAAGGCGATCAGGCTATTTAAGTTGAATTTACCACCTATCGTCATGTCGAAAAAAAACAGTAAACAGAAAATGGCTGACCAATTAACTGAATTGCTTTTCGCTAAAAATGTGTTAAAACGTATTACATAAAGGTGCCAAAAAGTTTATGTCATCAGCGACGTAATTTAGGAACAAGTTTTTGTGGGACGACAGCTGCACATTTTGTGAATTGTAAGCTGATTCCGCAACAGGCAAAAATCAGATTTGTCGCGGAATTCGCCACATTGCTATTTTTCTATCATCTTCTCTGTTGTTTTGAATTCCACGGACAAATAGATAAAACACTGTGTTGCTCAAAATCGCTCCGAAAACAGGCTAATTTCTGGAATCCGCAACAAAATGTGTTATCTCCTTAACCATGTGAATCCAAAATATATGTTTTTAGTAAACTTAAGCTGTCGCGGAATCGGCAACTGTAAGTGGAAACCGCAAATTGTAAGCGGAATCCCCAAATTGTTAGCGGATTCCGCAAACTGTAAGCGGAATCCGCATAAAATTGCGGAATCCACTTACATTTGCGGAATCCGCTTACATTTGCGGAATCCGGAACAACTACCTAAATTCGCTCGTTGCAGAGCCGCAACAAAATCAATGTACCGACAAAATTTACGTTACAGGTATTTGTACGTTACGCGGAATCCACTGAAATTTTTTAAGTGGAATCCACTCACATTTTGTTATATGTTTAAAGACTTGTCTCTGGAATCCAGGAGCATACAGACACAAAATTGTGCGCTTATCCAGTACACAGTTTGGCCTCGTAACGTGGAATTTGTTTTTTTAAACAAAAAAGAGATGTCTTTAACTCAGGTACTCTATTCAAAAAAAACGTTCAAATATCAAAACCAAATAAACAGCCGGCATAATTTTGAAATGAAATTCTTCTTTCTGTAAAAAAAAGGTTCGATACGATCCCAAAACCCACAACAGGCACACAATTTCATTGATTCCTTAAGAAATTGGAGCAAAAAGTTTTATTCTGAATTGTTTTTGATCTTGAGATTGCGAAAACAGCAATTGGCATACAATTCTGTTGTTTTCTTGGAACAACGGAATAAAAAGTTTCTATTTTGAAAGTGTTTCATATTTAGGTTTCTAAAACCACTACTGAAATAGCCAGGGTGGTCGATAAGGGAAGGATTTTTAAGGTAACATATTCTTTCAGTAAGGGTTGGCTAAAAAGTTCCTTCCTCCTGTAACGTAATAAAGGCCTTTAAAGTACCAAAAAAAGTTCAAAACAAAAAATCCAATCCTGATCACGCCACCAAAAAATTAGCACTTTTTCTGCAAACGGAAAGACTTTGGCTGTCACCTTCAAGTTCAATGACATCTTTGTTCTTAAAAACTTTCAATCATTCGCGGTGAACAATGCAGCTTCAAACACTGGTGATTTGAATTGACTATTCGCCCATTTGAAGCTTCCAAATACAGCTCATTGTGAATATAGTGTGTGAAAAGTCATGCGAAAACCGCAACTCATTATTAGTCATTTAATGCACACTCCCTTAATTGGTTCAAGCTTCCGCCTGTAAGGTGCTATTGTTATCTTCAGCCTTACTTTTATTGCCTTCAGTAGGGGTCCTTTATTGCATATTACCTTACCGTAACGACCAGCCATATACATAATACATACATACTCAATTGCTTTTTTTAAAAACGGTATAATAATTTTATTGTTCTGAAAAAAATCACTGACAGATCATAAAAGCATATTACCTTGATGAGTATAAATGTAGCTCAAAAGTATAAAAGTTTGAAGTATCGTGCCAGGAAAAATCATAATAGTCGAAAACTGAGAGCCTGCAAGTTGAACTCGAAATATATCTAAAAATTGGCTGTCAGTCTAAAAAATTAGATCTGACTACTTTAAAAGTATATAATGTAAATGAAAGCTACAGAATTTAAATAGCTATTTTCAGTTTTAAGCAACACGTTAGTCACTCTTTTAAACTGAGTACGATTCATTATATGTTAAGTTAAAAGGGTCTAATCAAACTAAGAAAAGATTGGTGAAAATTTAAGCCTGATTCATAAAAAGGGTCCATATATTATATATTATAAGGAAAAGAAAATGTGACATTTTGCAATAGAAAGAACGGAAAATAACAAAAAGCACAATTAAAGTGTTCACAACCAAGTGATTAGAAAAAGAAATGGTATGAAAATGTAGAAACCCTAGGATGGTAAATGGGTTCAAAGTGTCTAAGCAAAGTATTCTCTCATGAAAAACTTGTTTTAATTAGGGGAAAAAATGAAAACTGTAGACACACACAGGAAAATATTTTCGCTTTGCCTTCTTCAGTAATCTCAAGGGTTTTATGCCCCCAAGTATGGTACCCTACCTTTTTATCATTTCTAAGCGATAAGAAGGCAAAGCATGATTTATTGAAATATGAACGTTCAAATGTGGGTTTGAAAAAACTGTGTGAAATTGGGGAGGAACTTTGTATTCTGGTGTGCCTCAGTTTTTTGTTTTTACTTTGTTTTTACTTAGCGTGCAATGACTTTTATTAACAAATAGCACGACTGTTCAAATTAATATTTGAGTTGTAATTTTTACTTTGTTTTTATTTTTAGTTTTAATTGGCGTGCAATGATTTTGATTAGCGAGTAGCTAGACTGTTCAAATCAATGCCAAGCACTGAATGGTTTAAGTGCATTTTTGTTCGACCTGTGAAGGAACTTGTCTTCTGGTTTGTTATCTTTTGAATCAACGTTCTCTTCTGAATCATCAAAATGAGCTGAGTAATATATCAAAGTGAAGCCCTTTCAGCCTTAATTCCATACACATTGAAAATGTTTTAAAAAAAATTCTGTACCGAGAAGCACGAGCTTGAAATTTAAAGACCGATTTGAGACTAGTTTAGTAGAGTTTTTAGCTTTTACTTGTAAGTCTAACTTTTAAGTGGAGCGAGCAAGTAGTTATTTTTGTAGAAAAAAAAAGAAAACAACTCAGTCTAATTGTTAGGATAGCGAGTACTTGTTATAGTCGAAAAACCCTTATGCCCTTGTTACAGTAAAGAAAGGGACTTTTACTTTTTTGAACTTTTCCCAGACACAGCTAACTACAAAATTATAATTTTAAATTTCAGTTCAATGGTCTCGAGCTTATTGAAACGACACAACTCATCAACTATGATTCATTTAACATTTAATTAATTGAGTTCCTAAACCTAGAAAATTGCAAACAACTGTAGTCTATAATATACTCTGTGTTAATGTTGTACGCTTCACCTGGTGCGTCTCATGGTACATTGCACAAAAAAACACAACACAGTTATGGAATAAAAACCTTTGTGTTTGAAATAAAAATAACTTCGAAAATTAACTTTTTTGTGCAGTTTTTCAATGTAACTTCACCATTTTCACCATTTTTTGCAGCAGAGATATCACTAACTTTGTTTAAATTTAAGTTTGTCTGTTCTCATTTTTTGAGCTTTTACTCCTAGATAAAATACAGTGCTTATTGTTCCGACTTTCGATACGAAAGTAACGGAATATTTGTGCTCGGGGTGGGTTTTTTTTTTCTTCAGAAAAATTTCGACTTTTTAACTAGCCATTTTTGACGGAATTTTTTAAAATCATTCAAAAGGTATTGTTGTCCTGGGCTTAAATTTGAAAAGTTATTTCACCTGTGATCTTTTTTTGTAAAGTTATGGGTTTTTTTTTTAAAATTGCCATTTGGGTCAATTTGGGACAATTATTGCGCGATAAGTTTCGCGCTATTAACGCGTAAGCGGAGATTTAATCCGTCTTAGAAATCGTTCCAGATTTTTTTGAAAGATGCTTATTTGCCATAATTGATTTGTTACAATAGCGAAATCTATTCTTTTGTACTTTATATGGCGTGGGGGGGCTGGTTCTCAAAAAAAAAATTAATTTTAGAAAAAAATTTTCATTTTGTTTTATTAAATTTATTTTTTAAATGTTATTTTTTTGCTCCATAAACCTTAAAAGGCAGTCGGAACATTCAGGGCTTTGCCCTGATACGAGCAGTCTTGTTTAAATAACGGGACAACACGAACAAAATTTGAAATTTTAAACGCTTTTTTCTCAAATTGGGTAAACATAAGAAAAAAATAGAAGAGAAAAAAGTTGCTCAGGGCTTCACCAGAATTATTATGGTGCACTTTTTTCTCTGATTTTCTCAAAAACGGGTCATTTTAGTTTTTTTAAATTAAACAAGAATTACGCTGAAGCTATTTTCTTGGTTGATGAGACATTTATATCAAAATAAATCTCATACACAGCCTAACTAAAATCTAAGAAGATTAGCAGACATTGTTTTTTTATTTGGTGGCAAATTCTGCAACTCTCTTACACCCAATGCCATTCAAAATGACCTGTTGTTTCTACTTTTCAGTATCTTACAGTCAGTTTAACCTCTTATAAATTTCAATTTTGAGTTGTTTCTGTTTTTTTTTTCATTTACGCTTGTTAATTTGCTATTGATCTATATTCAGCTCTATTTTCTCGAATAACTTAATCATTCTGATTTCTAAATTATTTGTGTTTTTCCAATAAATTAGGTCTGCATGTGATTTCTTCAACTTCGGTAATAAATTAGGTCTGCTCGTGACTTCTTTGACTTCAGTTTTCATCTCAGTTTTTAAAGTTTTTCCAAAACGTGAGAAAGGGGTTGAGCCGTAGCTAAAATTAAAAGCCTGAGGTTGAAAGCCTAAAATATAATTCTACTTTATCAAAATCAAGGTCATGAATAGTCGGCTGTTGCGTAAACAGTAAAAAAAACAGTAAAAAAAAATAATAAAATTTTTTTTTTGCAAAAACAAGCAATTTTTTTCATTTTGTCAAGAAAAATAAAAAACAATTACGTATATGCTCGATTATTATTTTAAAAATAGATAGATTTCAACCGATTTGTATCTTTCAAAAATAATCGATTTTGCCTCTATTTATTACCTTAAATTTGGTGTGAGACTACACTTTTTTCTTGAGTAGAAACAATACGCCGAGCATACATTTATTCGAGTAATGTCTGATACAGTCGGAGAAATGAGTAGTTTGTACAGTTCTGTGATGTGAAGGGTATAAGTTTGTTGCCAGTAAATTTTATAAGGTATTTTTTTCTGAGAGGCAGTTTTTTTAAACGATTGTATGATATATTCGGTAATAAGTCGATGAACTGGATGTTTGTTCCAACTATAGGAGATGTTTTGTAAAAGTTGTGCTTGGGTGGTTTTTCTGTTATTATATTTAAAAAATTGTGCTCAGGGTGTTTTTATCTTCAAACCGTTTTCCCAACTTCAACTTTTCAACTAACTGTTTTTGGTTGAAATAATTGAGCTCAAATCTGGAAAGATATCTCGCTAATTCGGGACAAACAGCGCGCGATATGTTTCGTGCTATTAAAGCGTAAGCAGCCATTCAACTCGGTCGAAAAATCTTTCCAAGTTGAATAAAGGCATGCTGTTTATTCTAAATAATACGTTATTGTATGCTAAGTATATCACAGTGTTTAATATAACAGCGAGTGGAAAACTTGTTTCTTTTTTTTTTGCATTTTTTCGAGCTTTATTCTCTTTTAAAATGAACACTTCTCAAAAGACGTAAAAGGGCAGTCGGACGATTCGACGCGTCACCCTGATATGAGCAATCATGTTTTTTATCCAGTCAATTTTCGAATTTTTAACTAAACGTTTTTGGCAGAAAATTTATTTGCAAAATTATAACAGTTTGAGTTTGGGGCCATTTTGACGATTATAATTCAAATTGAGATAAGTAACGAGAGATATGTTTCGTTCTAATAAAGGGTAACCGGTAAACTGAAACTTCCAAAATGATTTGAGGCAAGCAGTTTTCTCTTAATAATACGTTATCACATGCAGCCAGACTAGAGGGTAGAAACGTAATACAAAATGTTTTAAAAAATTCCCAATTTTTCGAAAAATTAAAAAAAAATTTGAAACCAAAAAGCTTGTGTTCGATAATATACGACAGTCGGAACACTCATAGCTTTGCCCTGATACGGACAGTCTTGTTTTGTTCTGAGTAAATTTTCCAGTTCGCAATATTCGACTAAATATGATCTTTACTGTGTTTTGGGAAAATCCGCCCCTCTAGAAAAATATTGGTCGCTCTCCCTGATTAGTATAAAATAGCTTTTCTATACTATTAAGGAAAAAAATTGCAAATTATTTCATGACTTTTTGTCACTTAGATCAAATTATTTTGCCAACAAAATAAATTTTCAAAAAAAGTCTGAAATGGTCAGTGGAAAGTCACAAAAAGTCGGCTCTTTTTTTTCTTTCTTCTCCAGAAAGGGTTTCCCTTTTCTTTGACAATTGGACTTAGTGATCCCAGCTTGAGATAGAGACACTAAAATTAGAGACCATTTTCGCTCTTTATTCTTTCAGTAAGTTGGAATACTATTTTTAAAAGAATGGAGTAAGACCATTTGGAAGAACCTTTTCGATTTTACTTACTCAGTTAGGGCTAATTCCAAGCTGCCTATGTCTGTTTCGATGAATGGCTTGTCAGGTAAGTTCCTAGTCAGTTCTGATTCTAATTGAGGCTGATCTATTTGAATGCTGAACAGAGTGGGTTCGTGGTTTCCACTTCCCCCGATTGAAGCGCCAGGTTGATTAATCTGCCGACATTCGGTAGGCGCCTGAGACAATTTGTATCCTGCTTCTGTACTTGCCATTTTGACTTCTTGTTTCTTATCGTCCTTTTTAATCGTCGTAAACAAAATGAAATATGAAAAGTTCCGATTAAAAAACGAGTGAAAAAGGTAAAAGGTTTGTTTCAAACCTCTCATTTTTCTAATTTAGTATAACTGCTATCTTCTTTGAAAGATGTAGTGTCGTCTATTTCATTATGCATTTAAAAAATATATGCATATTATTCATTTAAAAATTGTATATTCCGTAAAATCAGTTATAGTGTACACTTCATGTTTAAAACTTTTTTGATTTTATAATTGAACAAAAGCCTCATTCGGGCAGATGATTTCAATTCGCCCTAAAAACGCAAAACATTTAGCATTAAAAACTAACAATAATATCACAACATATACTGATATCTTACTAATGAAATCTTGGGAAACTCAAACTCACCTGTAGACTGTTTTGTATGCCATTGGTGTTCTGCGCTAGCCCCAAAGTGTCTTCTTCAATCGTATTCAAGTACCTGATTGATTTAATATCAAGAAAGACGTCACTATCACCAAAACAGATGTTATTATTCTGATCATCTTCCTCCATACTTTTTAAAGTTTCGACAAGTTTACTGAGCTGAAGCTTCATGGATATAAATCAACATATAACTATTACCATATATTTTTTATCAAAAATTCAAAATTGTCAGACTAGCACTAATAAGGGTATCACTTTGCAAAAAAAAAACATAAAATATTAGTTATTTGATTGGGCTGTGCAAATTTTGCTAAAATTTGCAAAGCCGAAAAATTGTGACGTGAAGCGAAAAAAATAGAAGAAAAAATCCATTTTAATTTGAGTTTCAACATAATGTAATGCCTTTTTATGATTTAAAAAACAACTGATGAGTTTTTTTGAGACAAGATAGACTATAAGGGCTAGATGGAAACCGATTATATTGACAACATTTGATGCCTCAAAAGTTCATTAAAATAACTTTTTTCCACTCTCCTCAATGCGCGTTGTTTATGATCACTTCGTGAACAAATATATACAGAGAGTTCTGATGATCATCAAAAACAGAAGAGAATATATTTGTAGACAAGTTATACGAATCACAAAAAATTTAAATATATTAATAAAGATTGGTATAACTTTATAAAAATTAAGTTTTTTAAATTGCTATAGCTTGGAGCTTATAGTGTCTGATAAAAAAGTCTGCCAAACAAAAAATCTTGAGTTTAAAAATTTTGTTTTTGTCGTTTTTCAGGTCATGTTTTGACATTTGAGACAGCCAATAGTTGCTGACTTATTGCGACCAGTTATTACTTTGCATTGTAATTTTTTCCACGCTAACGATATAAAACCAAAATTGCAAATGCTTTCTTGCGCAAAAAATAACATTGAAACTGAAACACAAAAAAAATTGTATGATTTTTAGAGAAAGTAAAGAAATAATATGCTCGATAGTTTTCAGGAGAAATTTATATCATAATTAAAGTATTGGCACCTTGAGTGCAAAAGTTTCACCAATCATTCATCGTACATAGAAGGATGAAAAAAAAACAAAGTTATTCGAAGTAGTTAAAAATTAAATTGAGGGCTTCGAGAAGCACGAAAAAACTTTATATTTGATGAGTTAATCGATTTATATCCAAATCAAATCCCTAATGACATCAAAAGATTAGTAATTGAATGAAACTCAGGCGTAACAAGAATTGAGGCAGTATCTTGATAAAGGGAAAATCATCCTTCAATTGAAAAGATTACAGATTCGAGGAATAAATATTTCGTTTTTTCTTTTGTAAATTAGAAGTAAGAACCAATTTCCAACAAAACATTGAGTTATTGACTCTGAAGTAAAATGGATTAAATCAGATCAGAAAAAAGTGACAAATCGAAAATAGGGCGACCCTTTAATGAGCGTTTGGCGAAAGAAAAGGAAGCTAAGTAAACAGAAATGAACTTCCGAAGACATGCATTATCCCGCATCCGTCAGCAGGATAAAGTTAGATAGAAAAGAATAAATCTGAATTCAATTTGTAACACGAATAGATAGCAGATTGAGACGCTTTAACCAATTGATTGTTTTTTCCTCAGCTACCGCCCTCTAAAGGTGGGCACTTTAGGAAAGCCCATAAGCTTTTGGTCGGATTCTAATTTCAAATACTGTCACTCTGTCGCGCAGAACTAGACGTCAATTTTGCAGAACCAGACGTCTATTTTGAATTATTGATTAATTGTTTGTTTCATAAAAATTTCAACGCTGAAAAATGTGTTTTTTTTGTCAGCAATTACCTGGCAATATAAAAAAGTGTCTTAAATGTTTTCATAAATTATACACAATTTGTTGAGGAGTTACATAAATTACACAGAACCTTTAAAAAATTGCCAATGTACGTCAAGCAAGATTTTCTTTTTTTTCTCCACGGATGAATTTATTATTACGTCTCAGATGACATAATTCCCAGATGGCATACAAATTAGAAGTTTCCCAAATGGAATAAATTTCATGCAACAGTTGAATTGATAAATCGAGAAAAGTTTTTTCGTGAACCAAGTGAGAAAATTAGCCAAAAAATCAATTCAAATTTTAATTGCCATTTTATCTTGAAAAAATTGTAGAACTTTTTCATCAAAAGTGAAAAGCATAAACTTGTGGTTACAGATTAGCTTCTTGTTTTCAATTTTTCCGACGAAATTTTTGTCGCTTAAAGTTTGTTTGAAAACAATTAACTCCAAAATTTGTTCACATGTTTTCTTTCCTGACAAAACTTTAGAATTAGAAATTGATAGAAAACGTTTGCATTACAATGAAAGCTTGAAATTTATGCTATTTGGGAAAAGTTTCTTTTTTATGCCATTTCAGAAGTTACGGAAATTACATTCATACTTCTGGTCAAAAAACTAAGCCTTTGGTGGGCACGTTTTTCTTTTTTACAAATCAACTCATTCCACACAAATTTTATAGTTCCCCCTTTTGCAGAAAGTGAGGAATTTTTATGCTTGGGGTGGTTTTTTATTCAGTTATTCTTCAATTTTGACTGAAACTTTTTCACTCTAGTGAAAGTTTTTGACTGGAAGTTTTTTTTCCATCTTAAACAAACTGATGCAATGAGCTCAAATTAGAAAAAATACCTGTGATCCTTTAACTGAACGTTTTTGACAAAAAATTTTTACCATCTTAAACATACTGATGTAATGAGCTCAAATTAGAGAAAATACCTGTGATCATTTTTCGTACAGTAACGGGAGTTTTAAAACGGCTCTAATTTGGCCAATTTGGGATATCTAACACGCGATAAATAGCTTTCTGATACGCTGTTTTATAATTTTTAGTCAATTATTGAACAAAATTAATTCTATTTGATCTTAAGTGCAGTCGGAAAGTTCAAATCTTGGCCTTGACGTATGATCACAAATCATTCGTGTTATAAGCCGAATTTTCCATTTTTCCCCACATGTTTTTTAAAAACCAAAATCTAAAGACAAGGTGTAAGAACATTTTTGTTTTGACTAAAGTCGAAACAAATATCAGAATATTCACGCTTGGGTGGTTATTCTTCAGACAATTTTCTCTTTTTAACTATCCAATTTTGACAAAATAATAAATTCGCTTAAAATAAATTAAAACTTTGCTAAAGACAAAAAATAATTTTTGCATTTTACATAGGGTAAGGGAAGACGATGTTCAAAAGAAAATGTTTTATTGTTCCGACTTTCGATACAAAAGTAACGAAATATTTGTGCTCGGGGTGGGTTTTTTTTTCTTCAGACAAATTTCGACTTTTTAACTAGCCATTTTTGACGAATTTTTTTGTATCATTCAAAAGATATTGTTGTCCTGAGCTTAAATTTGAAAAAATATTCCACCTGTGATTTTTTTTCGTAAAGTTATGAGGGTTTAAAGATTGCCATTTTGACCAATTTGGGACAACGAACTAGCGATATAATTCGCGCTATTAACGCGTAGGCGGAGATTTAATCCGTCCTATAAATAGTTCCAAATTGGTTGAACGAAGCTTATTTGCCATAATTGATTCGTTACAAGGAACGAAATCTCTCTTTTTGTACTTTATATGGCGTGTGGGGGGATGATTTTCATTAAAAATTTCAAATTTTACAAAAAAAAATTTTCATTTTATTTTATTTCATTTAATTTTTTTATGTTATTACTGCTGCTCCATAAACCCTAAAAGGCAGTCGGAACATTCAGGGCTTTGCCCTGACACGAGCAGTCTTGTTTTTTATTAATTTAATCTTCTCCTTAAAAGCAAACACTAGTCCGTACAACTGAAAAAGCAGTCAGAACGTTCAGAGGTGCATTCTGATTCGAGCAATTTTATTGATCCGACTTTCAAAGAGAATGAGGAATAATTATGCTTGGGGTAGTTATTTACTTTTTGACTTCTTGATTAAGCTTTTTTGACTGCATATGTTACATGCAAATATTTTATCTTTTATTGTTTCGAAAAAATGAAAGGTAAAGTGCAGTCGGAACAGGAACATTCAAGGCTTTGATATACGAACAGTCTTGTTTATTTGCAAAACCTAATTGACATTTCGTAAATATCAGACTTCCTAAATTTCGCAGGACATTGCAGGAAAACTTAGTCATGAATGTTGAAAAAGTACATGCGTAGATATACATTCAAGGGTGAAATGACGCTGTCGGAAGACGCACTGGAGTTTTACGGGGAGTAAACGATATTTTTATAGGGATTTTAAATCTTTTTTTTTAATAATCAAAAATCAATTATAATCGATTATTTGACACTATAACCAAATTTTTAGGTCTCAAAAATCACGGAAAATTGTTACAACTAATTAGTTTTTTGAACTTTTGAAACGTTTGGCCGAAAATTTTGCCCAATTATATTTTTAAAATATCTTCAGACATTAGAATTCTATAAAATCAACGTTCTGAAAAATTAAAACCCGAACAAACGTGTTAATCCCAGTTTATACCACCCCACTCCCTCAACGTTTGGCATCCGGCCCTACTTTCAAACCCAACAAACCCCCTTCCACAACCCCTCCCACACCACTTTCAATTTCAAAAAAGAATAGAACTAAGATTCATGTTTGATTTTTGATGTTTCAACTAAGATTTTTGATGTTTCAAAATAAATCTTCAAAGTTGCAGAAAAATAAGGATTTGTTTCTGATTTTGAGTTTTTTCAAAAATAATTATTCTGGGGAAAAAACTTCATTCACAGACGCCAACAAAACAGGAACAGATGTATTAACTTAATTTCAAAATGATTAATTGTCAAAACATCAACTTCACAAACAAACAATATCTTCTCAAAGCATCAAAAACACCAAGTACCTGGATACTTGCAAAAGGTCTAACTGAAAGGATCTGAAAGTCGTGGATTTCAACTAATCATGAACTCACCGTTGTTAAGAAAATAGTATATATCCGAAAATAATTCTTGTACAGTCCGGATATATGTGAAGTATATATGCATATATGTAGTATATATGTGAAAATATTTCTCAAAGTCCAGTTCTTTTTCTTTTTCACCAACCTGCGAGTTTCTGCTGGTGCTGGTAAAATCTATGGCAACATTTTCCGATTGTTATATAATTTCTCATAAAGA